TAAACCAGCCGTTAGGCCTCGTTCCATTTCGCGCTTCACTGATGAGGCCTCCTAGATAGATGGATGGATGCTCAAGTCGAGTCTCGAGATCGCTCAGGCAGTCTCTGAAGGAACGCAACCCGCCTCTTGTGGAGCGTGGACCACGTGCAAGTGACGTGTAGTCTAACGAGAATGTGGTACTTGGAAAACTTGTTGACACGACATGAGTTCCACTCCTTCCAACTTCAAACGGCATGCTGCCAATGGCAGGTTTGTCATTCAGCGTGAAATGAAACGCACAATTTGATTTCATGGCTAAAACAATGTGTAGATATGTACGTGTTGAGCCTAACACTATTTGAGAACATAGAAGGTGTTCTAAAACACGAGGGTTGTTTCTCTTAAACATCTAATTTGCAGCAGAGTACAAGAAAGAGAAAAAAAAACATTAGTGTAATATATATATAACTGTAATAGGTTTATTAATCGTTGAAAAATTATATAAAATATTAAGAACACTTTTAATTTAATTAATGAAATTACAGACAAAACTTTTTAAAGCTTATTGTTTTCAGAATTAAAATCAGTTTTCAAAACGCTAACATGACAATCTGACATTTAAATATTTTTCCAGTTATTTTTCATTTAGTGAAATTAATACCTATATAGTCTTGCAGAGAATAATTAACTAAAAGTTTTTTGTGAATTTTGGGTAGTTTAATAGTTATTGTTGTTGTTGTTGTTTTCGAACAAACTTATACAATGGGCTATTTGCACTATGCCCACCGCTGGAAATCCAACCGAATTTTAGCATTGTAAGTCCGTAAACTCACCGCTGACCCGCTGGGGTAGTTAATTTAATATTAAGCACTAAACACATATAAATGATAAAAAAATAGAATAGCCGTATTAGAATATATTTGTTTATTTGTAATTAAGCACAAAGCTACACAATGGGCTAACTGTGCTCTGCCCACCACAGGTATCGAAATCCCGATTCTAGCGTTATAAGTCCTCAGACATACCGCTGTGCCACTGGGAGGCATTTGAATAGGTGCTCTATCCAGTTGTATATCACGAACAAGAAAGTATATATATATGCACCGCTCAGTAAATATATGATGAACATACTACTCTTACTATGCAATCGTTAGACTATCATAAATTCAACGTATGAAGATTTTGATCATTTTAGGTACGACAAATTTGTTGTGAGATTATAGCGGTATAATTCAAACAAAGAAAAAACTACCTTTCAAATAACCCTTTACATGCTATTTATCATTGTTCTATTCAGGGGTGTAACAAGTGGCAGCAGTAAAAAGAGTGAAGAACTGGGAAGTTTTAATGAGTTGCATCCATTTAAGTTCCATTTAAAGTGCCAAATGGTTTTGACTCAAACCGTATAATATCAGACACGCGTAGTCAGCGGGCGGTATTGCCTTGTATGTTCCATATCTAAGCTTGGTAGAAGTCCATTAATAGCACTGGGCAATATGCATGACAAAATAACATTTGTAACACTGTTTCTATTCGATCTGTAGTACTATTACACAGTGTAGAGTTGGAAAGGGGATAGATTAATAATCGCCAGTTTTTTTTTTTTGAAGTCGTACTGAAACAGTTCAGTTAAAATATGGTGTGTATTGAAGTGTTTGTACAGAAAAGACAACAACATAGTTTTAATTTTTAGTATATCGTAACAATAAAACAAACAAATTTTATATTTCTGAACTGTCATTTGGTTGTTTCAAAGACAAAGTAAATGTTGCATATATGTCATGGGTACTTCGATTGAAATAATACATAATTATACTGCTTACCAGTAAATCATTGGGTAAATCCAAGTAACACACAGTGCAAAATTTCATGAAAAGGCATTGATTTTAAAAATCCGGGGGTTCTATTCCTCACGGTGGGCCCAAGGTAGCTTTGCTCTAAAACAAACAAACAAACTTTTTTATGCATTCTTCGCCATTTTTCTTATTTGTTCTCATTGATTTTATTTTATTTATTATACCCTATTTTATTGTCCTCTGGAGGGTTAACGATAATTATAGGGACTTACAACGCTAAAATCGGGGTTTTGATTCTCTGTGGTAGACAGAGCGCAGATAGCCAATGTGTAGTTTTTTGCTAAAAACAATTATTTCATTATTTTAACTCACTGTGTCTTTTTTTTTCAATAAGCCTTTATTTATTCGAATTGTGTTTTTATCCTTCTCACCATTCTGTTATTTTTTCTTACTTTTAGATACTTCGTTGTTTCTCTTCTCTAAATTGTCATTCCTTTCTATTGAAGTTTATCAATATTATTATTTAATAGCTTCAATTTTTTTCATTTTTAAAACCAGCATTCAAAAGTCCCCAAAACTCGAAAGCTTTCGAATAGTTGACTTTTCTTCGCTACGAGAAAGAATAGTCAATTATTCACAAGCGCTCGAGTATTTGGGTTTTTTAAAAGCTACTTTTCTGTGTGTATCTTGTGTGCTAATTTTCATAATGGCTCTAAATTTGCTTAATGTGACAATTTCCCATTTCTCATCTCTCTCTTCTTCATCCTCATCATTTGATTTATTCCACTGGCTCTTTTTTTTTTTCATTTTCAAGGTACGTATTTCTAGTTTGTGTTTGTTTGGTTACTGAATTTTGCACAAAGCTACAAGAGGACTATATGCGCTGGACGTCCCTAATTTTGAAGTGATAGACCAGAGGGAAGGTAGCTAGTCTAAACTACCCACCGCCAACTTTTGGGTCACTCTTTTACCAACGAATAGTGAGACTGACCGTTACATTATAACGCTCCCACGTCTAATCTCGCGCAAGATTCGTCTCTCTCTTTTTTTTTTCATTTTCTAATTATAAACATTCATTTAAATTTTCCGTTGAAATATCTTTTTCCTTTTTCGCTGTCAGAAAATTTTCTAACTTCTTTAAACATTGGCAATAAGATAAGCTTATGATGTTCCACTATACAACTTATTTTAAATATTACTCGTACACAGTGATACGTGGTATTAGAAACTGAAAATGCATACCGTATTGCCCCTAATTAAAGCCCCCTCTCTAATTATCGCCCCCCCCGGTATTTTTATAAAGCTTACCTTGTGTGACAGCAATAGTAATTCAACATATAATCCACTTTTATTACCGTAATATTGACTTTAAAGAAATAAGAAAAACCAACATACACACACACACACTTATTGACATTGAAATCAACAAATCACGTAAAAAATTAGCGCTCCCCCTTTTTGCAGTTAATTAGGGGCAATACGATAGTTTTCTGGTCCTCTTTAGGTAGTTTATCACTTCTTTGGGTTCTCTGAATAGCCAGCAACAATCGAACCATGAAACATTGATTTATACGTCAGTTTAGTGAATTAAAATTTTTAAAATGGCTGTCTCAGTCAAGTTAAACTTGTTACTGAAAAATAAACTGAACTGAGAAACTTTAAAATGCTGCTTGATAAATACTCAAAATGAAAGAAAGAAGTGCAATATAATCAACGACTTTCACTTAGAGACAGAGAGTATTGATCGAATCAGTTAGATACAGGGAGTACTGATCCAATCAGTTAGATACAGGGAGTATTGATCCAATCAGTTAGATACAGGGAGTACTGATCCAATCAGTTAGATACAGGGAGTATTGATCCAATCAGTTAGATACAAGGAGTACTGATCCAATCAGTTAGAGACAGAGGATGTTAACATAAACCATAATTTTTAACTGGATAAAAAAAAACACTGACACTAACTATAACTCTCAATCGAATATAGAGCAAACTGATATAATCCATCCTGCACTTGGAGACAAAGATTAGTGACATAATCCACCACTTTGATTTGGAGACAGAGACCGCTAACGTAATTCACGACCTTCAAATGAAGACAAATAACACTTACATAATCCATCATTTTCAGTTCCAGATAGAATGGAAAAAAAAGACTTAACCTCTGGCTTTTACACGAAGACAAGAGCAGTGGGATAACCCGCGCCTTTCAATTAAAGACAGTGAGTAGGGACACACATTTCTTTGTAATTGGATATAGAGAACCTTAACAGAGAACATTAACATAACCCTACACCTTAACTTGGAACTAGTGAATACAGAAATAATCGACAACTTTAACTTTGAGACAGAGAAATTGACACAACCTAACACTTTTAATTGGAGACACAAAATACTAACATAAATTATTACATTCAGTTGGAGACAGAAGACACTAACATAACGCACAAATTTTACTTAATATCACTAACATAGCCTATAAGTTCACTTGAAGATAGAGAACACTAACATAACCCACCAATTTTACTTAACAATCATTAACATAGTTTATAAATTCACTTGAAGACAGAGAACAGTAACATAACCCACCAGTTTTACTTAACAATCCCTAACATAGTTTATAAATTCACTTGAAGACAGAGAACATTAACATAATCCACCACTTTTACTTAACATCATTAACATAGCTTATAAATTCACTTGAAGACAGAGAACATTAACATAATCCACCACTTTTACTTAACATCATTAACATAGCTTATAAATTCACTTGAAGATAGAGAACATTAACATAATCCACCACTTTTACTTAACATCACTAACATAGCCTATAAATTCACTTGAAGATAGAGAACATTAACATAATCCACCACTTTTACTTAACATCATTAACACATCCCATAAATTCTCGTGAAGGTAGAGAACACTGACGTAACCCAACACTTTTACTTGAAGACAGGGAACACTGACGTAACCCAACACTTTTACTTCAGACAGGGAACACTATAATAACCATAACTTTCAATTACAACTGAAGAACGTTAGTATGAAACGGAACGTTTTATCTTATATAATTGCACAAAACTCGGATGAGTTTTAATTCGTTTAAAGGTTGGTCCTTATAAATTTCAATACTGTTCTGTTAAGATGGCATAGAACATTATCACATGTTGCTGTTTTTCTTCTGTGATTCAAAGTCATTAATAACAATTTGATTATGTCCAGATTCTGGAAGTCCTGTTGACTTTCCTTATGGAGCTCAGCCAGGCTTCTACACCTTTTTTCCGGGCCAGCAGCCACCAGATTCTTTGGACTTCCCGCCAGGACCCATGGGGAGCGCCGCAGTACCCAGCCCGCCTCCGTCCTCAAGAGCTATGGACCTAGTTGTACCACCCGGAGGTCCGATGGTACAAGGTACATTTTGTAGTAAGAACTATTTCATATTCTTTTGGGGCTGGGGCTGAAAGAGTAGCAATTGCTTAAACTTTTACATACTTAATAGTAGAACCACTACTGCTCAATCTTAACACCTACAATTGGTGTCTTATCACTCCATCTCTTATTGTAAAAACCAACGTAGAGGTTTGTTATTTTTGGTTATTTTTAAGCCACAAGCGGGTTACTTGTAAGCGTTTCCTAATTTTGTATGAAAGTGTCATTATAATAGAAATTAATCAAATTAATAGAGCGAAAGTCTTATATAGAAAATATATTTAATTATGCACACACACATACACATATTTAGAAGGTGTACGAATTTATTCTTTCTTTCACTTTCAAAGGGCAGAAAATATTATGAAAATAGAAAAAAAGTGTATAGATGAATGGCTAATATTTCTCTCCAATAACTCAATTAAGCAGTGAGTACACAGGCCTGCGGACGTAAATTTCATAAAAGTTGTTTTGGTTTTAATAACGGATTTTCCATATTTCAGCTACTCAGATTTCGAAAATAATATAAATTTTTCTATCATGTAACAGTTTTTTTACAAATCGGGAAGAAAAAACTCTTACTTAGATCAAATTATTATTTCATTTACCACAATGAACATTGTTTATTAACAAAAATACAAGCAAACTGGAGAAAAGGGAAAAAGATTGATGTTAAACGAATATGCATCCTCATTCATCCAGCTTTTTTTTTGTGTGAAATCTACGTCTTTTAGTCTCAAAACTACGTATTGTGGTCTTTCTTTTATGTATTGCGTTATGACGTTTTGTGAAAAATCTGTACGTGATGGAGAAAAATGGATATCATTTTCGGATTCAGCGTACAGAAATCACCGTAAAAATTTCAAGACAATAAAATCATCGCAGGTCTGTGTTATTAAAGATTGTCTGGAACTATAAAATAATGTTATTGCTGTAATTAACGCTTTTTAGACAGTTGAAGATTTGACAAGGGTTCAAGTGTCACTCATCAACTGCTATTTATAATACTTAAATATCGTAAATCATAATTTGCTTTAATCCTTTACAAGACACTTAAGAACAACCATATCGCTCATAGAACTATGATATATACATATGTAATATCTATTACCTTTTATGTTTTGACTCTTGGTTGTTATGTTTCTACTTCAGTTGGTTGTCATATAAATCTTAAGTGAGCACAAACTTGAACACTGTGTATCATTTATTCATTTTAGTACAGTGAAGACCTGGGAACTAACTGTTTATTTATTTCCATATATATATGTAATATATTTCCAGTATGTTTGTAATGAACCCGTGAATCGCTCAGCTCGTTAGTTCGCGTTTACACAGGATATTAGCTTGTTTTGCTGAAGTTCACGCAAAGCTACTTAAGGGCTATCTGCGCTAGCCGTTCCAGAGGGAAAGCGGCTAGTGAGCACCACCCACCGTCAACTCCTGGGCTACTATAATCGAATAGTGAGATTGACCGTCACATTATAGCGTTCTTACGCCATGTTCGATGAAGGAAATTCGAACCGTGATCCTCAGATTGCGAGTCGAGCGCCATAACCATCACACAGAATGTTTAATTCGAATATATTGTCTGATATGTTGAATACTTATAACAGCTTGAATAATTCTTAACTGTAACTCACCAGCTACTTCATAAACCGGTAATTCAACAATTGTTTGTTGTCGCCGAACCCGTTGAATCTCTCTCTGCCTTTTTTCCTCAAAGTTTTATACGAATATAATACATGAATAGAACATCATTATTATAGTAAAATTTTATTTTACTGTCAGAAAGGGGGCAAGTGGGAGAAAGTGCATAACGTAAATTGCACATTTTTTTCTCACGTTGAGCTCATTAAAAATCAAATGAGTTTCGTACACGCTACGTCAGGATGACGCATCACTCTTGATACACTTCGTCACAAGGTTGCATTCTTGTAATTTTTAGTTAAGGACTACTTAATTAATTAATTTTTTTGTTCAAAAACAAAGATGTGAAACTTTTGACATTGATGATGTTACTTAGTTGCACCTTATTGAATATATGATATTTATTGTACCGAGTAAGAGAGAGAGAGAGAGAAGAAAGAAAGTTTTAGGTGTGCATGAAGGTTTTATATCAATCAAAAATACCGAAAGGATCATCTGAAGGAATTTGGTCTATTTCGTATATTTTTACATTTTTTTATACATATTAATATATAAACAGTGCTTTAGTTTTGCCTTAGGACAGCCGGACGTTAAGGCAAAAGTTTTTGTTTGGTTTTATTCATATATCGCAGTATTTTTTTCTTAGGGCAACTGAACCTTGCAGCAGACGCCCCCTATCTTCAGCACCACAGCGAGCTTTTGTCTCAACGTTCCAGCCCTGACTCTGTGCTGAACCTGCCACCTGTTACAGATGGTTACGGCCCACCCAGATCCTCAGCGCCAGAGTCGTTTCATCCGGGTCTTTCTCATCAGTCGCTAAGTGAAACACCAGTTTGGTGACGTTATTCTCGTCAAACGGACTCTGTTTGACCTGGCTGAATTAAAGAAAATAACATTTGTTGTTCTGAAAAAGAACAAATAAACAAAAGATAATATGACCTCCAATTACCCCACTCACCTTTAAATAAGAAAAATTTGGGAACAAACACACTCTTTGGAAAGTTAGGCCTAATAATGGGCCCATCACAATAGAGCTGTCAAACATAACTCCTGGGTTCTTCATCAATATTAGCGAAATTTCTAGAGAAGTGCATTTCTATTTTACCCTTTTTTTTCACAAGTGAGTCAACAGGAAAATTCACCAGAGAGTTGTGCTGTGACATTATTACTAGCATACCTTGTGCAACGTTCAAGGAACTCGAATTATCCATATTTACGATTTCATTTAACAAAACCTTTTATGAGCACTTGACAAGAGTGACAATTCCTCGATGAAATGATCAACCACGTCATATTTCGAATTGCGATGAGAAACCAACAATATTCGGACATAACAAAAACGTCATGATATAAAATTCTCACTTTTTCAAATCAATATTTAAAAGCATTTGTTGTTGATGTAAATAATATTCCTTGTTAGTGAATGAATGTTATTTATGTATACATAGTTGTATGAAACTGCTTTTAGCTCAAGCATGTGTTTAGGATCATACTACTCCAGCTTCAAACTTTCAGCTTAGTGTCGGAATACTTAGATTGATTCCTCTAAAAGAAAAAATAATCTGAATGTCTGAATATGTAATTATAGGGTCATTAGTCCTCATACTCAATGTAAATATATGGGGCAGTTCAACAACTTCTTTCGTACCTGTTTTTCTTTATACAGGTATATATATATATATATATGATCATAATTATACATAAAATTTTTCAACTTGAAGACTGCATTTCCGCACATTTAAGTGGCTTCAAGGAATGCTAAAGTTGTTGTTTTTTCCTGAAGTGTGCGAGGCCAGCTGACGTCACGCGCAGTACTGAATAACAATGTCATCTTATAAAAATTGTTATCACGTTTTTGTCACGTGGCCAAAGGACAAAAATCGTCATAGCTATTGTATTCTATTTAACGACTTTTGTTGGATTCAAACGACCAAAGTGACACAACTTAGTGTCAGGTTATATTGCTATGAAAACAATAGTATGGACGAAATAGAACACGTGGGCCATAACGTTTATTTTTTGCTGGACTGAGAAGTAAACTATAAAAATAAAGTTTCTCAGCAGACGTAAAGTGTACAGTTTGTGGTTTCCAGTGGCCAAGTATACCTCTATCTAGTATAATGTTTTAAATATGGAGTGCTCATGTTAACTGAAAATTTCTGTCAAATTGTTAAAAGTAGATATATTTCTAGATTAGGAAACAATATTCATAGAGTTTGTCCTCTTTTTTTTCCCTTATGTCCCCAACATTTTTCTACACAGATATTAAGGATAATGTATTTTATTTATTTATTTCACTCTGACACAATAACGTATGCAACGTTAGCTATCGTTTTATGTATAAACATTTATCATCTTTACTTTCTGTCCAAAGTTTTATGTTTCACGTGTTTTCTGCAGCATGATTACCATTGCTAAATTCACTAACTTAATGTAGTTAGTGGACTTGAGGTGTTAGGTCATCTTTTATGACTCTCATAGAATTTTTCATCTCATTGAATATCACCTAGTGAACCAAAAATATGTAACAAATATAACTCTTATAAAAACTAAAGGGAGAATATACTAAACTGAAAAAAAGGCATTATCTTATTACAAAAATAACAGAAAATAATTTTTATGACTTTTTGTAAAAGGGTTGATTACGTTTTCTAAAAATATGGTCTGTATATCAGAGTTGATATAAAATCCAAATTAAAATTTTACACTGGACAACTTAACACTGTAACAATACTGGTTTAACTTATTAGACTTAACATTATTGAATGCCTGATTTGTCGAAAGAGTAGCAAATATATATGTTTTTCAAATATGAATGACTTATTTAAACCTAACCTAATAACACGTTATTTAAGTGCAAACGAGAGTTTCAAAAATTTAACAAAAATTAGCAAGATATTTTATCAAAACAAAGTGTCTTAAGTAACTCTTATAACTTTAAACCGATTAATTTGTACAGCTTTCAAACTTTCTTTTCTAGACTAAGATTGACTCACAGAAATGCAGTTACTGGACAATATGTAAGATACATTTACCTCTTTTTCATCATTAATGAGTAAGGTTAACTATCAATCTGTTTAGCTATGGTCATTTATTTAATAATTAAATTGTAACTTTGTCGTCAGGTATAGTAACCTTGAAGATTATTTCATTAAAAAACATTTATTTATGCTGAATGTCTTTACATGTAGAAAATTTCGAACTTTTGCTGCCCATCTGGTCAGGAAGATGATTGATGTTTGTTTTACATTTTTCATCTAAAAATAGTTTAAGTAATTTTAGATGCCAATTTCAAAGTTTCTGTCTGGAAATAAATATGAATATTAAACACTGAGCGCTTATAACTATTTTCGCATTGGTGGTTTGTCGCCATTTAAAATAAAAATCGTTGAATCATCATTCACTGTGTTTATTTGTTTCACCGCCGTTGTTACTGTATCGTTTTATAAAATCTACTTAATGTCATTTTCGATCGTACACTGCTGCAAAACATTATCTTCCGTACACAAGGGACTTTCGCTATTATGGTATAATATTGTGTTATATTATGTTTAATTTAAAGTTGTGTGCACTCTTTGTTGTATAGGCACTTGTTTGGAAAAACAATTATGTGTGAATCAAGTACTTCAATTTCATGGTTGCACAGCCATTATAGTGGCTGGTTGTACCAGTCTTTGTGTAACAAACACTCTGTTGAAGCTAATATCTTCAATGCAAAGATATGTATGATAATAAAAGTTTCTTTAAAATTATCTTTTGTGACTTCTGTGCTTTGAAATATTCTGTATAAACATCAGAACAATATATATACACATACCTAAACATTCTATGCGGATACTATATGTGTTAAAAATATAGAGGGAATGAGCCATAGTGAACCCCCTCAATAAAGATACTATATACTTATAGCTATAATTATATTCTATTTTATGCGATAATTTATAAGTTATTTTTGTCATACATGCATTGATAACGATGGTGAACTCGTGTAATGTTAAACGGTTTCAGTGTTCATTTCAATACAACTTAACTATGAAGAAAGGTTTGTTATGTTACTTGTAGTTGCCTTTCTCACAAGAAGACTCAGAACTACATTCTGGCTCTTGCCAACACATATAATCGTTTTCAGGCTTCTCTGAAAACTGCAGATTCGGGGCCGAAGCGTAGAATATACATTAATTAATAATCATATAGCAATAAAAAAGTATAATTATTAATTGGATTTAGGTGTTCGTATAAGATACTGCTAATCGTGAGTGCTATTGATACTGTATTATCACCATCTTACTGTTCCATCTGTATTTGCTTGTTTCGTGACGTGATTTATTTTATAAAGGCATTTTGCACTTTGACAGCTCAAGTGAAGCTTCAGTATATTACTTATGGATGATCTCATGTTGCTACATGAAAACTTTCGGATAATGCATTGAAATAATTTGTTTGAGCCGATATGACAGTGAAGTTTACACAGGTAACGTGACATTCGTTATTGGTAGTAACATCTATATTACTCCTGTAAGTAAACGCTAAAGGGCATTTAGCTCAGTTGTCAGTGCACATGTCTGGTATGCGGGAAATTTAAAGTCTTGGCCAAAATGTTTGCATATTTTGTAACAAATAAGACCATTATTATTAAAATGGTTCTTTGGACATCATGAACGATTTATTACAATAGCAAACAACTTTATCATACACCTGTAAAAAAGAGGTGTAATTCAGCATTTCACCTATCACAACAAAATGTACCAAAACATATAGAATGATACATCAGTTCATATTAAACATTCAGTGCTTGATTGGTCCTCCTTGTACTCTAATAACTTCCACCATGATGAATAGCTGCCCAAATATGTACTGCACCACCTCTTGTGTGTTCCCTGTCAGAGAGACGGTCTTCTCTCATATGTTTTCCAGACAAACGACGAACACGAATCCTGCCATCAGCTTTAATAAGCCGAATACAGGACTCATCTGAAAAGATGACATATCGCTATTGTCCTAACTGTAAGTTGCCATACTGTCTTGTCGAAGTAACATGCTTAATATTGGTTTGTAGATAGCCCTTCTTGCAAAATAACCTTGTTTGGTCAGTCTTCTATTTACTGGATACCCTCTAATGAATATGTTCATGCCATTCCCGTCGTAAGATGTTGCAAGACTTCTTTCGACCTTGACATGTTACCCTGATCAAAACACTGTCATCTCGAGCAGTAGTATTTCGGCGTCTACCAGTATACTTTCTCGGAACGTTTCCTGTAGTCCGATAACGTTTCAAGATCCTGAATACAGTACACTGGGGGTATCCTACTGTTCTGCCAATGTCTGTTTGATTCATAGAATTTCTGGACGCCCTATAACTTCTGGCACGTGATGAGGCATGATTCTACACCAAGTACAGAAAAATTAACTGAACAAAGTGTTGATCTGTTTCGAAAAAGGTTATACCAGAAGCACACCCTTTTATACAAAACAGGTGTGTGTGTTTTGACGATGACAAACAAATGCTCAAAACAACTTATACAGACCAGAATAACAATTCGTTCATGTTTGTCCGATCATACGCTATCTTTCTGTTACTAATTGGAACTTTACTCAATAAGTACTCCATGCATGTAGACAATAACACCAATATATAACAGTATGCAAACATTTTGCCATAAGTTGGTAGCATTATTATACAGAATCGATCAAAGTGTTCAATAAATCTTTCATTTAAGACGTATAAGAATATTAAATGACTTAAAGCTAGTGTACTAAAGAGTAAGTGCGGTTTCGACATTGAAAAGTACCGGTTGGTATTAACAATGAAGCGTATTTGGTCATTTTTATAATTATTTAATTTTTGTCTCTACTTTCAACTTTTCTTCCTGTCATAATTATGGTCTGTGTACTAATTAAATCGTTCATCTACGTGTATTTAATTAAGCGTCCAAATATTTTGATTTTTTAATTGTATATATATATATATACCGCTTGTAAACTCCTGGCCTAATATTTGTATTAGAATATATTTCAATCTAAATGACGCTTTATGCACATATGGTCTAAACTACCAGGTCAGAGTCTTCTAGAATTTAGTTGTAGTTGTCCTTCACTTTGGAACTACGAAGCAGGGGAAAAGTAGTGTTTTTTTTTACAAACTTTCAAACGAATAATGATATTAATTGTCACTCTTATAACACACCCACAGCTGAACGTATATATCGTGTGTTCAGCAATATTGCGGCACCTACCTTAGACTTTCGAATCCACAGCCCAGTACTAGTATGATTAGCTCACAAGTGCTCTTCAATATTCTAGTTGACGTAAAAGTTCTTTCAAACACTTTTAAAATAAATTAGAAATAAGTACGTGGAAAAATGCCTTGTAAAATAGTATTATATGACATTGTGTTTCAAGGATAGTGTCAGTACTTTTAACAATAGTAGTCTGAATTTTTCTCGGCTTAATCGTGAGAACATTCTGAAGTTATCACAATAAATTATGTTTAAGTTAGTGAAATGATCATTAATTTGCATGTCAAAGAAAAGTTCACTATAAAACTCATTTTGATTTGTTCGTTTGGTAAGATTCATGCTATATATTAAACCTGATACTAACCGTATGTAAAATACATTCACATGTTGCACCATAAAACTCCAATTCATTCAATGTACAACAGATTTACTTTTATTTTTGAAATTGATGGTGAAATAGAAGACTTGAGTCAAATACTGACGAATAGATACGGGATAATTCAATAGATTATTTTGGAAATACGTTTACATAAATTATAGAGGTTTTAAATTACTTTTCCAATTTATCGGAATTGTTCAATCTTGAGTTATTCACGTAAGGATAAAATTAGTTTCTACAGAGTCACGTGATAACTGGTATGGGATTTATTATGGGGATTTTTAGCGAAAATGCAAAACTACGTATCGAAAGAAATACGTTAATACTCTCCTTTTTTTTCAGTAAAATTAAGTGTGATCTTGTTACATACCAAGAAAAGAGAACACATTTTTTTTTGTAGAAAAACAAAACGCAGAATTTGCTGGATGTTTCAGATATTATTTCATTTTGATTTATTTCTTCTAGGTATTTTCCGAAATTTAAAACTTAATGAAACTTTTAATGCAAACTCCATTTCGTTCAGAGTTTAGTTGTTGATAGAGAATGAGTTGCTATTTATTACTTCGTGCGTTGTTGTTGATGAAGAAAAAAACAGCAAAATACTCTTGATAAAAGCTGAATACATGATTAATCACTGTATATATATATATATATATATATATAATATGTTTATTTGTTCTTTAAACAGAACATGAAATGATAAAAAAATAGATAAGGCATACGTTCTGATAAACCAGAAAGAAATCTAAAAGCAGCCATTCATATATACACTTGCATCTGTCCAGAAGAGCGTAATAACCTTCTTGCCAGTCAAGAAAATCATTTGGATGAAACCCTTGATATTCCCCTATTTCATCTTCAAGAAAATAACTAAGAACAGCCAACCAGAAGATCCCCTCTTCTCATCTGTTCTTCAGACTGTTGACAGTCGCCATTATGGAGTCACTGCTGGTTTAAGTGAGCGGAAAGAGATCCCGACTTCTAGAATTTTTTTTTCTTCAACTACATATACTATAAGATATCATGGCTCCCAGCCACATATTATAATGTAGGGCATATAATGAAAAGAAGGTTTCTGTAGTATTCTCATCTTTCGAAGTTATCTTATCTTCATTAAATTTTCCAAGCTCTAGTTTACTTCAAATAGTTGTTTTCTAAACGTTCCGCTGTGAAAATCAATAAGTCATTATCTTTTTTTAATGAATTATATCCGAACTTAACATTTAATGATCATTCTCTGAAGAAAGAAGAAAATATAATAATTGGAATAGTATTTTCCTAATAACGTTTATCTGTCGTTGAAGTTGTCAAATGCGATTGTCTTAAGCTTACACCACCTTTTATGAGTGTAAAGTATTATGTTTTACGATAATTGTTTTTCATATTCAATATTTCCAAAATATAGATTTCATTGTTGATTTTTGGATTTATGACAGTTACTAAGGCTATCTGCCGCCGTTCATAACTCTAAACTGTACTGACCATACGAAAGGCAGCGGGTCAACAGTACTCCACCACCACCCATTTACGCTAAGAGATTGACTGTCACTCTTACAACGCACACACAGCTTAAAGTCGGAGAAATATTTCGTAGAATCGCCAGCTCATAAATCCAGAACTCTAACACGGGTCCAACCTGCTCCCCATACGTTTGAGATTAAGTTCAAATGATTAAACGTTTGGATAACATTTTATTAATTATGCAGTAACATGTAGAGTAGAAAATCAATTCATGTGAAAACTGACCATGAAGTCAAATATAAGAATATCAAAACTTAAAATAGAAGTTAACTAATTAACTCTCGTAAGAATTGTTGATCAGAAGTGTAAAAGGCTTCATAAACGTTTTGTAACGTATGACACATTTCTTGTGAACAATTTTTCCACATATGTCACATTAGTTTGCCAGTAGAAAAGCAGACAGCTAGAGCCGCCTAACGTGGTGCACTAGCGTCATACTCGTCATCTTTTTTTCCGATCTGTCGGTTATAAACTTCAGCTTGCGTTTCTTGTGGCCATCAGTCTTCATCAGGAACTAATTTCTGCGTGCCGTTCTCGCTCATTAAGCAGCTCTATCTCCGTTCGGACACCAAGTCAGCCGACTGAATCCACTGCCAGGACATGTGATGGTTCTACG